GTAGCTCTATTTTCAACTTTTTGAGGAACCTCCATACTGTTTTCCAGAGTGGCTGCACCAGCTTGCATTCCCACCAACAGTGTAGGAGTGTTCCCCTTTCTCTGCATCCCTGCCAACAGGGAAATCCAAATCAAAACCTCAATCAGTTTGAGACTTATAGTAAATGGGTGAGGCTGCTTGTTAAGTAATGAATTCTTGCTTCGAGAATCAGTCAGTCAGGGAACATAAGCCCTTCTGCCATGGTATTGAATTAGGAAATCCTGTATTAGGCCAGAAATGAGTCTAGATCAGTGGTTTTCAAACTGTGCTCATCCAATTCTTGGGGGTCTCTTTGAGGCATCCCAAGTCCAGGGAAGGGAAAAAGGGCAAAGGGAGGATGAAGACAAGGCTTAGCCCTTCTTAATTATATCACTCGGAGCTATTTTGCTTTCATTGTTTTATATTTTGGTTTCCACATGCAGTATACTTTTTGAGAGTCATGTCGAAAATATTTTATATTTGACAACTAATATGCACAAACCATTATTTATGTGATATCAGAGATACCATATCTACTCTCCAAGAGCCTACAGAAAGTTGGTATGAACACAAACACATATGCATTAAGTTGAAAATAATTTACAAGGCCATTTATCACAGTTGAATGAAGGAGCACTTAAAGAAGAGAAGTCTTCCAGAGATGAGCTGGATTTGAAGATTGGAAAAAACAGAGATTAGCAAAAAGGTTTAAAAAAATGCTTTCTAGGTAGGGAAAGGCAAACAATGTGAATTTAGATTAGTTGTTAAAAGTGGATTGCAAGGGCCACAACCAGGAGACAGGAAAGAATGAGTTGGAGTCTTGGAAGATAATTTTATGTAAATGGTGAGATAAAAGAGCTGGAATAGAGAAAAGAATATAAGAAGAGCTGGAATAGAGAAAGAAAGATATGACCCCTGTTCTTGAGAAGTATACACTAATGACATAGATTTAAAATAGTTTTAAAAAAGGAAAGAAACCTATTAGTAAATGAAGTGTGTGGTTCTTACTTTCCCAGGAGTGGAGGAGGATTGCATTAAGTTACAACCACTTTCCCAAATGGTCCATTCCCTAGTGATCCAAAGGAAAATAGGAAATGACCCATTGTAATTAGTGGTTCCAAGGAGAGATGAGGGTGAAAATTCTTTGAAAGAAGGCTTAACTCAAAGCTAAGACCTTTGTCCTCTATCTTGGAGAGCCACACTTTAAGAAGGGGATTGGTCTGAATGCTTCTCTCCAGTGTAGTTTACTGATGGTGATTAAAACAAAATGTTGACTGTAGGCTTTCCCATACTCACTATTTTCATAGGGCTTCTCTCCAGTGTGAACTCTCTGATGCATGATAAACTGTGAACTCTCACTAGTGGCTTTCCCACAATCATTGCATTTATAAAGTTTCTCCCCAGATGGGTTCTTTGACATCGTAACCTTGGTGCTATCACCAAAGACCTTCCCATACCTATCACATTCATAGGATTTTTCACCAGTGTGAATTCTCTGTTATATAACGAAATGTGTGTCTTGACTGCATATTTTCCATACTTAAGGGGTTTTTTGCTTGTGTGAAGTCAGGTGACATAAAATAAGACATTTACTCTCACTGATTATCTTGCCACACTATGTTCCAAATGTTTTTCTCTGGTATGAATTTGCTCATAGCCAACAGGTTGAGTTCTGACTGAAGCCTTTTCCATACTGCCTGCATTTATTGTGCTTGTTCCCTAGTGTGGAGGCTCTGATGTCAAATAAGACATTTACCCTGACTGAAGGCCTTACTATGTTCATTATACTTAAGGCTTCTTCCCAGTATGGATTCTCTGGGGGTCAGAATGGTTTCTGTTGGAACAGAGAGCTTGCCCACACTCATTTCAACTGTAATGTTTCTCACTAATGTGAATTACTTGATATTAGAAAAGGATTTTACTCTGAATGAAAGCCTCCTACACTCATGAAATTTATGTCTTCTCCCGAGGATGAGTTATTTGAGGGTCAATGAGTAGGGAACTCTGTGTGAAGGTTTTTACGCATAAAGCACATTTATAAGTTTTTTTTCCAATTATGGAATCTCTGATATTGAATGAGATGGGAGTAGTGATGACAGATCTTCCCATGTTTGCTGCATTCATGGGGCTTCCCTGCTTAGTAGATTCTCAAAAGAACCATTGACTGAGAGGTCTTTCTAAATGTCTTATCATACTCATTATACTCTTAGAGGCTCTTTTCTTTTGGATCCTCTGATGCAGGCTCTGATTGAAACCTTGCCACATTCACCACATCTTCAGATGTGATGTATGTTCCTTCAGACTTTCTTGTTTGGCAGGACTGTAGGATGGACTAAAATGTTCCTCAGGAGAGAGTGTCACCTGGCCACATCTGCCCTGTTTATTGCTCTACACACAGGTGCCCAGCATTGTGCCAGGCACAGCTGGCCAGAGCAAATGGAGCAAAGAGGGAGCTTTACTTGGCATACTTTCCAGACTCAAAGAAAGTACCACTGTCTGCAGGTAGGTATAGAAAAGGAGTGTGGTTCCAGCTACAGTGCTAGGGGTGGTGACTCCTGAGCTGGTGACCCTCAGCCTGAGGCAGCAAGGTTGTAAACATAATAGTACCAACTTTTTAGCAAAACTTTTTATATTCATACTAATAAAGGTCTAGTTTTTCTCCTAATTATTGGATTTGTTTTCTTGATTATATTATAATGTCAGTCAAGTAACATTTACTGTGCATGTGTGATAGTTTAACCTCTTCACTTCTGAGTCTCACTTACCAATCTTTCTTCTATTAGTGCTTTCTACTCTTGGGCTTTTGAGAAGGAGGCTAATAAAGTTAATGGAGATAAAAGGAGAAAGAATGATTCTAAGTTAGAGAAGTGTGACTGATAGAGGCTTAAGAAGAGAAAGAAATTGTTTCTGATGCCAGAAAGGTTACTCCAGGCATAAGTAAAATCACAAAATATATTATATGGCACACTGACACGAGTTTCAGTGAATTTTAAATTAAATAAAAACTGAGGTGTTGTAGCTCATAATATCCTAGTGTACTAAGCATGGGTATGCACATAATCTAAATAAGCATGAAACTAAAACCAGCCTGCTTAAGGTCACCAAATCAACCATTTTGAATAAATTGAGAAATTAATTTAGTGAGAAGTTTATTTATTTATTTATTTATTTATTTATTTTTACTGAACTGATAGTTTATTTCTAAACCAGCAAATCAAGTGATGAGGCCAGTGCAATCTCAACCTTACACAGTGCATCAAATGCAGCACATAGTTTGGATAGGATTCAATTACTTTTTTCTTAAAATACTTGCAGTGACAATTTACAAATTGTTTTTGCCATTTCAAAAACATACAGTGAATTAAACAATACAAAAGTACTCAACTTACATACTAAATAAACTGACTTACATCACGATCAATACCCTTTATACACAGGGCAGGGTTCAGAGGAAGGTGACAGGTCTTTATACACTGAAAGAATTCTTCTAGTCTGCCAATCTCTTTCTTTAGTACCTCCTGTGAAAAAATCATTTGAAAAAGCATTTTAGAAACTGTAAAGAACTTGACTTTCTTTCAAGTTATAATTTTCTTCTATTGATTAAATAAACTCTTTAATTCAGGGGTTGCACACTTGGATGCTTTGGGGTCAAGTAGGTGATGTAGCCACATATAAGGAAGCAGAGGGCTAAAAATAATAGAGAGTGTTGGGGGAAATGGGGAACTAAAGAGTTCATGCATTTTCTACAGGATTTTAAATTCAATTAAAAGCAAAACCAAAACCAACTATTCTGTTCGAACAAAACGTGATGGGTTGGCTATGACTTGAGGCCCACCATCTTACAATACCTGCTTTAAGTAATTGTTGACACGACCCAATTCTGATAATTTCCTGGAATCTTAGTTTGTAACCCTCAAGGTTTATACTTAATAGTGATAGTACATTTCAGAAAAAAAAAATTCACATATACTAAGAGCAATAATGGCAAAAATGACAATTGTCAGAAATAGCAATATATTTGAACAAATGGTTTACTAAATAACAATGAGTATATTCCTGATACTTGCCTCATTCCCTTCCACAGTTCTCTGTACCTGTGGAAGGTCTGAAACCACAAGCAACACCTTTAAAATTGTGTATCCCCTAACAAAAAGAGCAGAAAAACAATAATTCAAAATATAAGAGCTCCTTTAAGCCCACTTTCAGAAACTCTTTAAGTCCAATTCTAAAAACGAAGGTATCAGATTAATAATGTTTAATTAACTCCCAAGAGTTTCTTAGCTCTTACTCCTGGGTCATTGGCAAATAATAGAAACTACTGCTCCCAGAATCCAGAAGAGCAAGGTGGGAAAATATCTTCTTTCACACAGTTTAATTAGTACTTTTTATTTATTTTATTTTATTTTTGATGAGATGACATGGCTTAATAGTAAACAGCAGAGAAAAACAATGTATAAAGAAATAACTTCTAGGAATCTGAGGAAAAATAATCAAGGAGACAATTTTAATATATTAAACATTCTAGCCTTTATCAGAATAAGCAGACATAAATTTATAAGTAGGTTTGCAGAATTATGAATTATCTATTAAAAAGGTTTTTTTTAAGTTTTTATTTAAATCCCTGTGAGTTAACATACAGTGTAATATTAGTTTCAGGTGTACAATACAGTGATTCAACACTTCCGTACACCACTAAATAGTACTTTTTCAAATGAAATAGAAAAAACAGCTAACAGTAACTTGAATTGTGCGAAATTGTAAATGCTTCTTTCATCTATTTTTATTTTCTTATTTTTATGTGAAGAAGTGTTATCACAAAAACAGTCTAGGTGAGAGAAATATATTTATTTGAAAGAATAATGTCAATAGCTTTTTGGAACTTAATGTAAATGGTCAAAAAAGGCATCAGACTTATTTAACTGTTGTATGCATCTCAAATATGTGAGGAATTTTAAAATCTAAGAAATAAAGACTAAACTCATACATAAATTTTATAAATTTTAAACCAGTTTATTTACTTGCTTTCATTTTTTTCTATCACTAGAAAAATTAATCTGCAGTAATATGAAGAAATTATAGAAGCTTGTTTTTTTATTGCTCATATTATTTATCTTATGGTTTTTCTGTCAATCTAGAGTTTATATGTTTCCCATTTAAGAATAAATTCCATGCTTATGCTTTTTATTTCCTATTTATTCCCATATAGGTGAAGGGCCATAGCTTCTGGCACTTCTATCAAATGAATGACTTCCAGCAAGAAAAATACTGGGCTGGGAAAGAATTCTGGGACACTTTGCCTGTCAATGTTTCTATATTATTATGTTGAAAACTCTTTTTGATTTTAGACAGTGGGTGGAGAGAAACTATGTGCTCCCTTTGAGGACACAATTCATGTTTTAGTCATCTTTCCATCCTTAACTCCCAGTCTGTAAGTATTAATTATTCCTGAATGATGTTATTAATACAATGGATAGATGCCCACTATCTCCCTGCATCTAGAATGTTGAACGTAAGAGAACCTGCTTAGTGGTCTATATCAGTGAGGGAAACTAGTGATGCAGATAATTAAAAAGAACTAATATTCTTCAATCAGATCAAGAAAAAGAATAGCCAGGTCCATTATTATAATCAGTAATGAAAAACACACAATATTTTGACTATCATTCATGGATTTTAGTATAAAAGTTTTACTATCCACACCACTATTGATTTGCTTAATTTAATTAATTGTTTTGCCAAAAAAGTCTTTATTTTGATTAGCGTAGTGTTAGAAAAATCTAGACCTCGATTTTGTACCTTGGACAAGAGTACCCTAAAAAGTCCCCTCTGGACTTCTACTAGTGTGAGTTGTGCTGCCATTTTGAGGAAATTACTTCATCTGGTCTTTTTAACCAAACTGCCTTTAAGTTCACTTCTCCTTGTCAGGTACTCCCCATATGCTGCATGGCTACTTAGATCAAAAAACTATATTGGGGTACCTGGGTGCCTCAGTCAGTTAGGTGTTCAAGTCTTGGTTTTGGCTGAGGTTATGATTTCAGGGTCATGAGATTGAGCCTCATATTGGGCTCCACACTCAGTGGAGAGTCCACTGGAGATTCTCTTCCTCTCCGTCTCCCCTTGTGCTCCTCCCATCATTTGCTTGTGCTCCCTCTCTCTTTCTCTCTCTCTCTCACAAATAAATAAAATAAAATCTTAAAAAAATATGTCCTTGTGGTAGACATTATCATTAACTTTAGGATTGTAAATTGAAAAAAAATCTTGAGGGGCGCCTGGGTGGCTCAGCCATTAAGCATCTGCCTTCGGCTCAGGTCATGATCCCAGGGTCCTGGGATCGAGCCCCACATCGGGCTCCCTGCTCTGCAGGAAGCTTGCTTCTCCCTCTCCCACTCCCCCTGCTTGTGTTCCTGCTCTTGCTATGTCTCTCTCTGTCAAATAAATAAATAAAATCTTTAAAAAAAAATCTTGATTAAAGTATTTGAGTTGGGTGTTTTATAACTAAGTATAGACAATGAATCTGCTTTCTAAGCTATGAAATTAAAATTTAATTGAACAAAAGATTAAAGAAAACACTACATGAAGATTAATTTCTCAACAAACCTGTCTTTGAGGGTCACTGGCAGACTTGACTTTTTCCCCGATGTCTCCCAGAATTTTAATAAGTTTCTTCTCCTTGGAAAACTCATCACTCAAGGCTTTTCCTGAACAAAATTGGAGAGCAGCCAACAGCTTCTGATACCAGCTTTTAAAATAAGTTTCATTCTGTGCATCCTTTAGCAGCCTGAAGGAAAGAGAAAAAAAGAATTCTTGTATCCACAGCTAATTTTTTAACCACCTCCAGCAGGAACAATTAGTGCACTTCAGACTAATCTGTATTTGGTGGCTTTGGGCAGTTTAACAGCCTGGAATCAGGGAAAATGTTGTTTATTCGTTGGCAGTCATCAAATTCTATCTGATAGCTAATGAGGTTCCTAGAGTGAAGAATCAATAAGAGACCTGCCTTTTCTCATTTCAATTCACAGTGCACTTTTTCTTCTTTAGGCTTCTTAATTCTATAACAAATACTTAAGAACATATTTTGACTTCTTATTCAAATAAGGACAATGTTTTAGAAATAGTACTTATAAGTGACCACACTATATTGGAACTCAACCATCAACCTTCCTTTTCCTACTTTTCTTCAAAAGGCAATGTCCCCCCCACTGTCACATACCTACATATTTCTCTTTCTTCAAGTATCTCTCCTTGATTACTTGGAGGAAGACATGGTTTTTGTTTTCAGGCATTTCTGGATTCAAATCTCAGCCCTCTGACTTATAAGTAATTTATAAGTAATTTAGGTTAGTTACTAAACTAGGCTGAGATTGTATTTCTTTATCTATAAAATAAAGTAATAACGTTGACTCTGTGGAGCTGTACAGAACACAGAATGAGCTAATGCATTCAGAAGGGCTTAGCACAATGTACCTATCAGTCAGCCAACATTGTTCATATTTTGTGGCCTCCCCCAGCCAACTTCTGTCCCAGCCTGGCTGTCTGCTCATGTCATGAACATGGGAGACATAGCACTTAAAAAAGTGAGAATACTATGCTAGATAATGGAGAAGTAACAAATATTTTATTACTCTGTCTGCCATGTGACAATTTCTATTGCCTTGAAACTAATTCTAATATGCTCAAACTTTACTTTCTATTATGCCCTAAACCACTGAAATAGGAAAAAACAAAAACAAAACCCTTATTCCTTTGAATGTTAACCTCTCTTTGATTGATTCTTTTCATCTTAACTGGTCTCTAGTCTTGTCCTTCTCTGAAAATTTAACATTCAAGAAAATAGAAGAAAGTTATTGTGAGAATAGAATACTAAAAAAAGGATTAAATGCAGAGCAATTGAAAAGTATATAGATGAATTTCATTCTGCATTCTTAATTTTGCATCTCTGTTTCTGTATTATGTTACAGAGACTATAACACATTATTTTCATTTGTTCTATGTTCTCTGTTTTCTATGTATTTAGAAAAATTAAGTTAAAAAGTTAAAAAAATTGAGTCTACCTTTTTTTTCTTTTTTTTAGGTGAGGGCTTGCTCTCTTGTCATTGTTATGAAGCCAACTTATCTTCTAGCACCTCTTTTGCTTTTAAGTGGAATAACAGTTCTTTTTTTTTTTTTTAAAGATTTTATTTATTTTTTGACACAGAGAGAGACAGCGAGAGAGGGAACACAAGCAGGGAGAGTGGGAGAGGGAGAAGCAGGCTCCCCGCTGAGCAAGGAGCCCGATGCGGGGCTCAATCCCAGGACCCTGGGATCATGACCTGAGCCTAAGGCAGATGCTTAACAACTGAGCCACCAGGCACCCCTGGAATAACAGTTCTTATTTACCTCTGGAAAGCATTAAAAAAAACCCTCAAAGGGTTAAAGATGTATTGATAAAAATATGTAACCCATTGATACCTGCTTATTTTCAATGTAAGAATAATAGCAATGAAGTTTTCCTATGCTTACCCCTACAGTGAGCATTGGAATGTCAGAGGTAATAAATGAAACCTGTCATTATTTGGAAGCTCTAAGAAAATGAGTGTTGTGTGAGTGTGAACTGGAAAGCCACAAATGCAAGCATTCACATGTAAAACTTTTAAGACATTTTATGTAAAATTGTATATCTCTCAGATTCTCTCCATATTTTGAGGACTTTGGTAATATACCATTTTATAGTGTACTTGGGTTTCAGTGAACTAGGCACTTGACAGGTAGAATATTTCTTTAAGCTTTCTTTTTTCTTTTTTCTTTTATTATGTTATGTTAATCACCATACATTACATCATTAGTTTTTGATGTAGTGTTCCATGATTCATTGTTTGCGTATAACACCCAGTGCTCCATTCAATATGTGCCCTCTTTAATACCCATCACCAGGCTAACCCATCCCCCCCACCAGAACCCTCAGTTTGTTTCTCAGAGTCCATAATCTCTCATAGCTCATCTCCCCCTCTGATTTCCCCCCCTTCATTTTTCCCTTCCTAATATCTTCTTTTTTTTTAACATATAATGTATTATTTGTTTCAGAGGTACAGGTCTGTGATTCATCAGTCTTACACAATTCACAGTGCTCACCATAGCACATACCCTCCCCAATGTCTATCACCCAGCCACTCCAACCCTCCCACCCCCCACCTCTCCAGCAACCCTCAGTTTGTTTCCTGAGATTAAGAATTCCTCATATCAATGAGATCATATGATACATGTCTTTCTCTGATTGACTTATTTAGCTCAGCATAATACCCTCCAGTTCCATCCACATCATTGAAAATGGCAAGATTTCATTCCTTTTGATGGCTGCATAATATTCCATTGTATATATATACCACATCTTCTTTATCCATTCATCTGTCAATGGACATCTTGGCTCTTTCCAACGTTTGGCTATTGCGGACATTGTTGCTATAAACATCGGGGTGGAAGTACCCCTTCAGATCACTATGTTTGTATCTTTGGGGTAAATATGACAGGTAGAATATTTCTATATCTCTGTCAATGCCTGCCAGCATTTTCATACAATTTGAATATTGAGTCGCTTGTTTTAAAAATATTTTTAACCAGTTCTTGTACATAAGTATAACTCTATAATCTGACTGCTATATGCATGATAAAAGGAAAAGTTATTTTGTACAGATGAAGTAAACTTTTTACTAAAATAATTTTTTAAAAAGATACCTTTAGAGGTTAGAGGGGTCATGGGAACTGTCAGAATTATAAAATTTTGTGTTCATAATACTCTTAATTTTTTTTGTTAGAAATATATTTGATTTTTTTCAAGGAGAAAAACACAATTTTATTCCTTGCTCAAAATAAAACAGAGCAGGGAAGATTTGCAGAGAAAATATGACTGTGTTCTAAAAATATATATAAAAAGCAAAGAAAATTCAGTGTATTCCACTGTGATTATTTTCCTTGTAGAATATGCCTCATTACAACCCTGCATCCCCACTAAGATCAGATGTTCTCCCGGTGATATCTGGCTCAAGCTTTATGGCTTTTTACCCGACTAATGAAGAGTTTGTCTTTATACATTGTGGAATTGAAATCGTGGAGTAGTAGAGGTAGGAGATGACCATGAGAGGTCAAATAGTCCATCCCTGTGTCCTTATGCAGTCAAGAAAAATTAATGTGTCCTTTCATTTTAAACAACTGCAAAGAAAGTCGGACTATATAATTTGAGGTAGAGGGATACTCAGTTCTGCATCGATGACTTTTACATAAGGAAGTGCTAAACCACTCATGCCGTAGTTTGTATCCATTGCCTGTGTGTGTAAGATTAGCTAACAGCCTGCCACTCTCTCTTGAACATCACAGAAACCTTTTTCAAAAGACATTGTCACCTAAGAGAAGCAGCATTGCCTGCGTCAAATAATTTTTTTTTTTTATTTTCAAAGTTAAGACCAAGGGACTGAGAAGTATCAAGATTTGGTGGTGAAATATCAGACTTTTAAGGTGCATGCAATGTGACTGTGTATACACTGTGAGGTAAATCTTAAAATGCCAGATTCCTGTTTATCCTAATATCTGTGAGATCCAAGGATATAATTCAATTTGATATGATTTTGTACACCTCTTACAGACTGTAAGTCATGACAATGTTAAAATGATGATAAATGCATAAAATCTAGCTGATTAAAGGTTTGGACAGTGTTAAGGATGAGAAGCAGAAGCAAGAATGAGGAGGAAACTAAGGTAACAGTACAGTTGTTAGAGGATGTTATAAAGGTATTTGACTGAATTAAGGGGATCATGGTGGACTCAGAGAGACCTAAGATATAGAAACCCCAGATTGCACGATAGGGAGATTTTCCTTGGATATTGAGATTGTCTCTGTTTCTTCATGCTCATGGCTGTTAATGGTCCCATAGCGAATGACTTCCTAGAGCCACAGGAGAAGTACATAGTTCTCACTTCTCAGACTACCAGCAGGACAGAATAGTCATCACACCATCCCCGCCCTCCTTGCCTCCTGACTCTCTTCAGTGAAGGTCTAATTGTAGTTCTCAATAGCACAGTATCCCACATCTTACAGGCTGCCTTAAATTTTGACCTTGTGAGTGAAAAGGGGAAACAACATCCTAGAGCAGAAAAGAACTGAGCTACACAATGAAGATGAGTGATTTCAGATCATTCCAGGACCTCCCCTTCCCATTTTCTCTCATGTTTGTTGATACAAGGCAAGGTGTGAGTCTCAATAGACCAGTTTTTAGTGACCACAGGAGGATTCTAGAAGGTCACTTCTTCAATTGTATTTAAAACCCTGGGACATATAAAGATTGATATTAATACTTGATATGGAATTACTAATTTTAAGATTTTAATAGTGTGATTAAGAAGTAAAAAAGCATGTAGGGTGCCTGGGTGGCTCAGTTGGTTAAGCATTTGACTCTTGATCTTAGCCCAGGTCTCGATGTCATGGTTGTCAGCTCCATGCTGGACATGGAGCCTACTTTAAAAAAAAAAAAAAAGAAGAAGTAAAAGGCATGTCCTTTGTAAAGGACAACTTTATTTTACTTCTTAGTGTTTAAGACATTTATTTAATATTTTCCAAACTGAGGACCTTGATACTTTTTTTTTTTTTTTAGAGAGAGACAGAAAGAGAGCATGGGCACGAGTGGGGGTAGGGGAGGGGTAGAGAGGGAGAGGGAGACAGAGAATCTTAAGCAGGCTTCATGTTCTGCACAGAGCCTTCGTGGGGATCGATCTCATGACCTTGAGATCATGACCTGAGCCGAAATCAAGAGT